CATGTGTACACCCAAGTTCTTGTAGCTGGAGACCACTTCCACCACAGATCCTCTTGTGTTCAGGGGGATAGAGGCCAAGCCACTGAGGTGATACACCGGGGTAGTGTTGATGCGCTGATTGTTACCTTGTCAGATGAATTAAAGTCAGAGCCGTCCTTGCTCTTTTGCAGGTAATCCATTTATTCTTAACGTGTCCATTTAAAGGCAATATATCTTTCCACAACACTTGCATCTGTTGACAGCATCTAGTTTATTTTATGTTCAGCAGTCAAAAACTGTTTCCCCTTCCAGGTGGAACACCTGCACGCGCAAAGAAAGGTTCCTACTACAAAGTATATAGACAGCTGATTACCCACGTGACCTAATACCCGTTCACAAATGTATTAATTTATCACCTGCTCCTACAGGGGTGTAGGTGTGTTTGTTCCTTCTGAAGTCCACAATCATCTCCTTTGTCTTCTTCACTTTGATGTGAAGGTTGTTCGTCCTGCACCAGCTCTCCAGGTGTTCCACCTCTTGCCTGTAGCTGGACTCATCATTGTTTGTGATGCATCCCACCACCGCTGTATCATCTGCAAACTTTACAATGTGACAGCCTGGATGGGTAGCTGCACAATCATACGTGAGCAGAGTGAACAGGAGGGGGCTCAGTACACATCCCTGAGGAGAGCCAGTGCTGAGGGTTATGGTGGAGGAGGAGAGGTTGTGGATCCTCACGGACTGTAGTCTGGTTGTTAAGAAGTCTAGTACTCAGTTGTAAATGGAGGGGCTTAGTCCTAGTGCGAGTAGTTTGTCCATCAGGGTTTGGGGGATCACGGTGTTGAAGGCGGACATGAAGTCCACAAAGAGCATATGGACGTAGGAGTCCTTCTGCTCCAGGTGTGTGAGAGCAGTGTGGACCACAGAGGAGATGGTGTCCTCTGTTGATTAGTTCTCACGGTATGCGTACTGATGAGGGTCCTCACTGATGTTGATGGTTGCTTTGGCTTTCACTGCACTGTCTTCTGTTGCTTTTACAGTAAATTCTGACAATTTTAAAGAAAACACCAAAAGCTTTACAGTGTCTTACTAAAAACCTGGTTAAGAAATATTATTTAAAATATTTACAAATGTTTTATTTATTCATTTTGATTCGATTCGAGACAAAACTTCTCTTTTGTTGCATAAAGCTCTATCAGGCAAAATTCAAGGTGGCTTTGTCCTTCTGTAAAAACTTCAGCGGCTGAGTTTTAGGAGTAAAAACACGTTCGGTGTGATTTAAAATAAATAAATTAAACTAAAAGTTCATAAAAATAAAAGCACTGTCAGCTGATTGTATTAATAATTTAAGAACAACCGTCGATTTAGCTCCACTCGGCTGCTTTCTGCTCATGTTGCAGCTGTTCCCTTCGTCCCTCAAACCAGGGGTGTCTGTAAAAACCTCCTGCTCCTCCTCCTGCTCCTCCTCC